CCCCCCCCGGCGGCGACGGCGGCGGCTTCTCGAGTCCCTTCAATTATCAGCTGAGCCGCACAGCGCCGGCGTGCGCCTCCGCCCGCGCCGCCTCCCTCCCCGCCCGTTCCAACACCCTCCGGGAACTACTTTTCCCTCAGGTTGCGCTGACGGGCACGTCCGCGGGACAAGCCCCGCTGCCTACTCGCTGCCCATCACATCGCCCCTCCCTCCCCCGCCGCCCGGCTCGACTCCCCCAGCAGCCTGCGATCTCCTCCCGATCCCTCCGAGGGACCAGGAAGGGGAATGTGAAGCATCGCTTGGTATCCCTCCGCCGGGGTCACCCCCTCCCCTCCGTGGTAGCAGGAACTAATTCCCCTTCGGGTCACCGGGGATCTGAGGTGGGAATTTCACGGATCAGGGTTCCCTGTGACCCTTGGAAAAGGGTAGATCACCCCAAGTTAGAAGCCCACTGTCAGCTCAAAAGTGGGGTTCGATTTAAACTAGGGCTTTGGCCCCATGACCTCAAACAAACCCCGCCCCTTCCTGGTTGTCTTAGCGACGGCGGTGGCGTCCCAAGATGGCGTCTTGGCTGCCGGAGACTCTGTTCGAAATTGTAGGACAAGGCCCGGCGCCGAGCAAAGACTATTACCAGTTATTGGTCACCCGATCCCAGGCAAGTGCGATCCGCGGTTTACCCTCTCGACTAACTCCCTGTCCGCTCCGGTGACGAGCCTCGCTAGGCCGACGGTGACTGTGGCCCGCCGGAAGCGCCCGGTCCCAGCTGCGAGCCGGGAGATTTCCCTCGTCACCCCGGCCTCCTCGGCCGGTCTGACGGCCCGCCTGTCCTTTCCCACCCCCAGCCCGGCTCGTCCCAAGTGAGCTTTCTTTGCCTACCCACAACGCCACCCGCTCCCTTCCTGCCACCCGGGGTTCCTACCAGCAGAGTTCCCTCCGCGCGAAGAGAAAAACAGGCGTCCCGGGCTTGCGTGCTGCCTCACCTCAGCGTGGGAAGGAGGGAAAGAAAGACTCAGCCAAGTGTCCCAAGGAGGAGCCGGCAGGGGAGGGGAGAAAGGGACGATCTGTTTTCCAGGGTAGGATTTAATCGTGGGGGATTTTTAAAATCTTGTGGTCTTTACGTGCACCACGGCCACATCATAACTTCCTTATTTCTAGTAGGAACTGATCGTTGAGATCTTCCCCCTTACCTTTTTGGAGCCTTTCTATCCCATTGAAAGTGTGAGGGGGGTGGTACAAAAATGTTTCAGCTGCTCTGCGCGTCAGCCCCACCCATAATGACATCTGCTCCACAACAATAAGACCGAGGATTATGTTATCGCTGGAGTAAAGTAACCATCGGCCTATTTTTATGACTACTTTAGCTGCCGAAGGTGGGCTTTTGGATGATTTATTGTGCGCACGAAATGATCGACTTGAAATGGGCCTCCGCTCGGAACACGTTTGTGATTCCAGGCCGAGATCACGCTCGTCGTTGAAATAAATATTCATACACCTTGCACTTTAATGGATGGTACCCTGTAACATGACATTTAGAACTTTGTATGTATTTGTTTTGGTATAGATATTGAATATGTTATCAGTTTTTCTATGAGCGCTTAAGTAAAATAGGCAGAGTGGTTTTTATTTTTTTTAATCTAAAATTTATAAATATTACACATGTAATATTAATAAATGTGATAGCCTGTCAAGGTTAAATTTTCAACTAAACCGCTTTTAGGAATTTTTACACATTTAATTGGAATTTATTAAATGCTAAAATTTACATTTTTGTACATTTCTTAGGATTGACTCTTTTCTATTTGCTTTAAGATGTATGATCCTAACGATTCTTCACTTTGTAACATAAGTGATTGAAAACAATCATATCTTACTCTATTCCTACTTCATTTTCCATTTTCATTTACTCAGGTAAGAAGTTCTAATTTTTACTTCACAGCCTTTTCCATAATCTGTCTTTAAATTTTTTTTGAGCATTTCTTTTTCTTGAGAGTCTGGCATTAAAAGTGTACTATGCTCTAATGTTATAAGCCTCAACACGTTGAGTACTTGTTTACCTTTATATTTTAGTAAATTAACCATAGGAGCACCCCTGGCATTAGTTTTCCCCAAGAACGCTTCTGTTGTTGTTTTTCAAACTTTGCTCTCTAGTCTAACTTGGGCAAGTGCCTTCCTTTAACTACTCTGTTTTATGAAATCCTTCCCCCTCCATTCTTAATTTGTCCCTTTTTTTTGAAGATCAGAAACTTTTATTTTAGGTCCTATTCTTTCTGTCAATTGCTTATATGTGAAACCCTTTACAAGATCCAATCCATTTTCTTTTTTAAGCAGACTGAATATATTCACTACAGTTCTACTAGTGAGTTCATCTCAAATCTGATTAATTCACTCTCTTTTTACAGTAAAATTTGTTGCAAAAAATAGTAAGCCAAAAGAATAGTCTTTTTAAGCAACTGTCTGGAGACTATGCTATTTTCTAACCACAAGATAATTTTTCTAAATCTCGACACAGGAAACCAAACATCCAGTAAGAGGTGGTCTGACATAAATAAGTACTAAAAGACTAGAATTAAATGTGTTTTATAAGATGGACTTTTTTCTGGAGTGACTTTCTAAAATTGATTCTTGTACATTTTTTCTCTCGCTTTCTTTCTGCCTTTATTCCCCCAAATTTTGTGTATTATCCAAAATATGTCCCAGATTTAGATGAATCCTTCTTGCACTCCGATCCTCTTTTTTATTCATTTTTAACTGCTTTTACTTTTACTGGCTTTAAACCCAAATGACTATACATGTAACATGCATTTGAAGGCAGGTATCTCTCTTCATTAGTTTCATACGACCATTGGCCAAGTCCAGAATATAAATGTACATAAATATTTCCTAAGAAAATTTTTAAAAATTTAAATAAAAAATATTTCCTTTACTTTCTTGCTTACACAGTAACATTAAAAATATTTTTTTTAGGCTTACAGAGACATTCCCAATTAACGACTTGAAGCCATGTTTTTGGGTTTTTGTTTGTTTATTTTTTAGAAATGGGACTTATAGAATACAGCTTGGGGTCAATGTAGTTTAATGCTCAAATCTGATCTTTATAATGACCTGAAGGCTTAGAAAAATCAGTACACTGCACTCTAAGATTTACCCAATTATTCTCGCTCTAGTTTTAGTAGTATATGTATTGGAGTCTAATTCTTTGAAAACTAGTAGTTCATAATAAGTCAAGGCTGGAAAGAATCTTGAATTTTATTTAGGCCAGGGATATTTCACACTTAGCTTCTAAGAAAGTGTTAAGTTGTGTTCCTGAATAAAGATCCTTAATTTTAATCAGCAACTTGGCATTTACTATGGGAATGCAAAATATAAAAAGATCCCTGTCTTCAAAAAATGTATCATTCATTCAACAAATATGTATTGAACACCTTTAAATGCCAGGTACTATTCTAGATGCTGGGAGACATCAGTGAACCAGAGTCCCTCCTCTCATGCAGCAAATAATACAGTAGATAGAATATAGTTAGCAATTTGATTTATATAAACATTTCAATAGTTGAACTTTTGTACCTTTTTTTTTAAGTCCAAAGGAAGCTCATAAGCGATTGCCACGTTAATGAACAGCACCAGCATTTTTAAATCTGTGAATCTAGAGGAAGCAAAAATCACTTTAGAATGGGAGGCCCAGGAGTGTACTATAAAAAATATTTTGAGCTTGAAATTCTGTCTCCTTTGTTCTCTCAAAATGAAAGTGTTGCTTAGGTGGTCAGAACTGGTGGCTTAGGTTTAATGTGACAGACAAATACTGGAAAACTGCTAGAAACAGTAACCATGCTAAGTAGATGAGAATTGGCAAATATGGCCTCTTTTGGCTAATAATACAGGTGGTTGGGTGTCCCAAGAGCACCATCATGTTTCCATTCACTCCAACAAATGAAAGAAGGAAGAAGAATTGGGTAGTAGATTAGTCTTATTTTATCTATCTTACTAAATCCTACTCCAAACTCTAAAATCGATACCTGAAGCTGTCATCTGGAAAAAAAACAAAAACCCAAAAGCTCACTCCTCAAAAATGGCAAATATTTTTTATATACTTCAGAGTTGTAGCACCAACAAGCTGAGGTGTTACATGCCAGCCTGTGACAGTAAACTTTCATCTTGATGAATTCTGAGAAAGGAATTAAAGAAAACTAGACTTGGTGGCTGTTGTTTGAGAGACTTTGCAACAAAGAATTGTGCCAGTGCCATTTCAAGCCACAGACCAATTTTAAAGATTTAAAATTTAAGTAAAGTCTAATAAAAATGTTAATACACACACTCTTTGACCCAGCAAATCCATATCTAGGATTTTATATCCAAAAATACTTTCACATGTGTACAAAGATATGTGAGCAAGAATGTTCACTGAAGTAAAATAATTATAAAAACATCTTCCCATAGAATATTATATAACCTTTTAAAAATGATGTGATGAATCTCTTATTTATTCAGTAGAATCTTAAGCAAGAAAAGCAAGCTGCTGGCTTAAACATAGTATGATCCTGTTTAAGAAACAAGAGTTTTATTTAAATGTTAGAGGGAAAAGCTAGAGTGATTTGCTCTTAGGGGTTGCTTTCACTTTCTGCATTACATATTTCTGAAAGATCTGAGTTTTTCTACAACGAGCATTTACTTTTATTATCAGAGAAAAGCAATAAGAACTTAAAATGAAAATGTAAGTGGTAATTCTTAACTCAGAGAAGTTGCCCTGCTCTGCACCAGCTCCCAACCTCCCACATTAAATGATGAGCAGCAAAAATGATGTCACCAAAGATCCTGCTGGGGGTTTTTTTCTTGGGGGGGGGATTCTAATTCTACAAATTTAGAGGTGGGGCAAATGGGTTAATGGTTACTTGTAAAATTTTGAGATGTTAGTCTCTAGAAACTCCTGATCTTTGTTTTTGTTTTCAATGTAGGTAATAATTACTAAAGGGTTGCCTTCTCTTTCCTTATTGGGTGTGAGATAGTGGTACTAATGAGCTAAAAAAAAAAGATATTGAGAGTAAAATAAGGCAAAGCTGGTGTACTGAATAGGTTTATTTGCCCTCCAATCAAACTTTGAGAACAGAATTTCTCAAGTAAATTGAAATCACATTAAGTAGACACGAGATTGTGCACATTTTGGAAACTGGATGGGATGCAGTCAACTTGATATCCTGATGATATTTTCCCAGGGGTTCCAGGAGCCCCTAAATCATGCTGTGTTGTAGGACTGCTCCCCACATGAGGTCCCCAAGAGTCAAATACCTGAAGAAGATAAAGCAGAGGAGAGTGAACGGGTTTGCACCTGCTTATTCTTTCCTTGTCCCTAATGGAACCTTCCCAGTGGTGGAACTGACTGTCTGTACAGACTTCAAAGCTGCATTGCCCTTCTGCCCAAGGCCACCCGCAACAACCAGTGTTTCCACAGAGAACTGCTGCTGCTTTTAAACCCAAAAGTCAATGGAATACTGTACTTGCTTTTATTTCCTTTCCCCTTCCCTGTCGTTTATGGCTTGACTTACTCTCCTCTTTTTCAGCTGTCTGTCTCCCACACTCTCTTGTTTTTCCCCCTGCCCTTAAACGATAGGCTTTCCCCTTCTTCAGTGCAGCTTGGAACTTTCAGCCCCACCCTGCTCCAGA